GAATCTTCCACAAATCCCAAATCCTCCCCAACTCATCCTTTTTCCTTTGTAGAATCCTCCCCAATGCCCCAAATCCTACCCAACTCCTCCTTTTTCCGTTGTAGAATCCTCCTCAATTCCAAAATTCTCCCCAACTCCTCTTTTTTTTTCCTTTTGTAGAATTATCACCAATTCTCAAATCCTCACCAAATCCTTCTTGTTTCCTCTGTAGAATCCTTCACAATTCAAACTCATCCCCAAGTCGTCCTTTTTCCTTCTGTAGAATCCTCACCAATTCCCAAATCCTCCCCAACTCCTCCTTTTTCCGTTGTAGAATCCTCCCTAATTCCCAAATCCTCCCCAACTCCTCCTTTTTCATTTGTAGAACCCTCACCAATTCCAAAATCCTCTCCAACTGATCTTTTTTCCCTTGTAGAATCCTCCCCAATTCCCAAATCCTCCAAAACTCATCCTTTTTTCCTTTGTAGAATCATCACCAATTCCCAAAATCCTCCCCAACTCCTCCTTTTTCCTTTTGTAGAATCCTCGACGATTCCCAAATCCTCCCCAACTCCTCCTTTTTCCATTGTAGAATCCTCCACGATTCCCAAATCCTCCCCAACTCCTCCTTTTTCCTCTGTAGAATCCTCCCCAATTCCAAAATCCTCCCCAACTCATCCTTTTTCCTTTGTAGAATCCTCCTCAATTCCCAAATCCTCCCCAACTCCTCCTTTTTCCTCTGTCGAATCCTCCCAAATTTCCAAATCTTCCCCAACTCCTACTTTTTCCTTTGTAGAGCCCTCACCAATTGCCAAATCCTCCCCAACTCCTCCTTCTCCTTTGCAGAATCCTCCACAATTCCCAAATCCTCCTCAACTCCTCCTTTTTCTTTTGTAGAATCCTCCACAATTCCCAAATCATCACCAACTCCTCCTCTTTCTTTTGTAGAATCCCCCCCAATTCCCAAATCCTCCCCAACTCTTCTTTTTTTCCTTTGTAGAACCCTCCCCAATTCCAAAATCCCACCCCCCAACTCCTCCTTTTTGCTGTGTAGAGTCCTCCACAATTCCCAAAGCCTCCCCAACTCCCTCTTCTTCCTTTGTAGAATCCTCCACAATTCCCAAATCCTCCCTAACTCATCCTTTTTCCTTTGTGGAACCTCACCAAATTCCCAAATCCTCACCAACTCCTCCTTTTTTCCTTTGTAGAATCCTCACCAATTCCCAAATCCTCCCCAACTCCTCCTTTTTCCTTTTGTAGAATCCTCACCAATCCCCAAAATCCCCCCCAACTCCTCATTTTCCTTTTGTAGAATCCTCCCCAATTCCCAAATCCCCCCCAACTCATCCTTTTTTTGCTTGGTGGAATCCTCACCAATTCCCAAATCCTCCCCAACTCCTCCTTTTTCCTTTGTAGAATCCCATCCAATCCCCACACACTCCCCAACTCCTCCTTTTCCTTTGTAGAATCCTCTCCAATGCCCAAAACCCTCCCCAACTCCTCCTTTTTCCATTGTAGAATCCTCCCCAATTCCCGAATCCTCACCAACTCCTCTCTTTTTTTCCTTTTGTAGAACCCTCCACAATTCCGCAATCCTCCCCAACAATTTTTTTTTCTTTGTAGAATCCCCCACAATTCCCAAATCCTCCCCAACTCCTCCTTTTTCCTTTGAAGAATCCTCCCAAAATTCCAAAATCCTCCGCAACTCCTCCTTGTTCCTTTGTAGAATCCTCCCCAATTCCCAAATCCTCACCAACTCTTCCTTTTTCCTTTGTAGAATCCTCACCAATTACCGAATCCTCCCCAACTCCTCATATTTCATTTGTTGAATCCTCCCCAATTCCCGAATCCTCCCCAACTCCTCCTTTTTCCTTTGTAGAATCCTCCCCGGTTCCCAAATCCTCTCCAACTCCTCCTTTTTCATTTGTAGAATCCTCCGCAATTCCAAAATCCTCCTCAACTCATCCTTCTTCCTTTGTAGAACCCTCCCCAATTCCCCAAATCCTCCCCAACTCCTCCTTTTTCCTCTGTAGAATCCTCACCAATTCCGAAATCCTCCCCAAACTCCTCCTTTTTCCTTTGTAGAATCCTCACCAGTTCCCAAATCCTCTCCAACTCATCATTTTTCCTTCGTAGCATCCTCCCCAATTCCCAAATCCTCGCCAATTCCTCCTGTTTCCTTTGTAGGATCCCCACCAATTCCCAAATCCTCCCCACCTATTCCTTTTTCCCATGTAGAAGCCTCCCCAATTCCCAAAATCCTCCCCAACTCCTCCTTTTTCCTGTGTAGAATCCTCACCAATTCTCAAATCTCACCCACTTTTTCCTTTGTAGAACCCTCACTAATTCCCGAATCCTCCCCAACTCCTCCTTTTTCCTTTGTAGAATCCTCCACAAATTCTAGAATCCTCCCCAACTCCTCCTTTTTCCTTTGTCGAATCCCCCACAATTCCCAAAGCCTCCCCAACTCACCCTTTTTCCTTTGTAGAATCCTCCCCAATTCCCAAATCCTCCCCAACTATTCCTTTTTCCGTTTGTAGAATCCTCACCAGTTCCCAAATCCTCTCCAACTCATCATTTTTCCTTTGTAGAATCCTCCCCAATTCCCGAATCCCACCAACTCCCTCTTTTTCCTTTTGTAGAATCCTCCACAATTCCAAAATCCTACATTTTCCTTTGTAGAATCCCCCCCAATTCCCAAAATGCCACCCAACTCATCCTTTTTTGTTTGTAGAATCCTCCCAAATTCCCAAATCCTCCCGATCACATCCTTTTTCCTTTGTAGAATCCTCACCAATTACCAGATCCTCCCCAACTCTTCCTTTTTCCCTTGTAGAATCCTCTCCAATTCCCAAATCCTCCCCAACTCCTCCATTCTCCTTTGTAGAATCCTCACCAATTCCCAAATCCTCCCCAACTCGTCCTTCTTCCTTTGTAGAATCCTCCCCAATTCCCAAATCCTCCCCAACTCTTCTTTTTTCATGTGTAGAATCCTTCTCAATTCCCAGATCCTCCCCAACACCTTTTTTTTCCTTTTGTAGAATCCTCCCAAAATACACAGATCCTCACCAACACCTCTTTTTATTTTTTTTTTTCGTAGAATCCTCCCAAATTCCCAAATCCTCTCCAACTCTTCCTTTTTCCGTGGTAGAACTCGCCACAATTCCCAAATCCTCCCCAACTCATCCTTTTTCCTTTGTAGAATCCTCCACAATTCCCAAATCCTCCCCAGCTCCTCCTTTTTCGTTTGTAGAACCCGCCCCAATTCCAAAATCATCCTCAAATCCTCTTTTTTCCTTTGTAGAATCCTCCCCAATTCCCAAATCTTCCCCAACTCATCTTTTCTCCTCTGCGTAACCCTCCCCAATTCCAAAATCCTCCCCAACTCCTCTTCTTTTCCTTTGTGGAATCCTCCCCAGTTCCCAAATCCTCCCCAAATCATCATTTTTCCTTTTGTAGAATCCTCCCCATTTCCCGAATCCTCCCCAACTCCTCCTTTTTCCGTTGTAGAACCCTCCCCAATTCCTAGATCCCTTCCAAATCCTATTTTCTCATTTGTCGAATCCTCCGCAATTCCAGAATTCTCCCAAACTCATTTTTTTTTCTTTTGTAGAATCCTCCCCAATTCCAGAATCCTCTCCAACTCATCCTTTTCCTTTGTAGAATCCTCACCAATTCCAGAATCCTCCCCAACTCCACCTTTTCCTCTGTAAAATCCTACCCAATTCCCAGATCCTCCCCAACTCATCCTTTTTCCTTCGCAGCATCCTCCCCAATTCCCAAATCCTCCCCAATTCTTCCTTTTTTCCTTTGAAGAATCCGCCCCCATTCCTAAATCCTCCCCAACTCATCCTTTTTCCTCTGTAGAATCCTCCCCAATTCCGAAGTCCTCCCCAACTCCTCCTTTTCCCTTTGTAGAATCCTCCCCAATTCCCAACTCCTCCCCAACTTGTCCTTCTTCCTTTGTAGAATCCTCTCCAATTCCAAACTCCTCCCCAACTCCTCCTTTTTTTTCCTTTGTAGAATCCTCACCAATACCAAACAATCCGCCCCAACTCCTCCTTTTTCCTTTTGTAGAATCCTCCTCAATTCCCAAAATTATCCCCAACTCCCTCTTTTTCCTTTTGTAGAATCCTCTCCAATTCCCAAATCCTCCCAAACTCCATCTTTTTCCTTTGTAGAACCCTCACCAATTCCCAAATCCTCCCCAACTCCTCCTTTTTCCTTTGTAGAATCCTCCCCAATGCCCAAAACCCTCCCCAACTCCTCCTTTTTCCTTTGTAGAACCCTCCCAAATTCCCAAATCCTCCCCAACTCCTCCTGTTTCCTTTGTAGAATCCTTCCCAATTCCCAAATCCTCCCCAACTCCTCTTTTTTCCTCTGTAGAATCCTCCACAATTCCCAAATCTTCCCCAACTCCTACTTTTTCCTTTGTAGAACCATCCCCAATCCCCAATTCCTACCAAATTCCCCTTTCTCCTTTGTGGAATCCTCCCCAATTCCCAAATCCTCCCCAACTCCTCCTTTTTCCTTTGTAGAAGCCTCCCGAAATCCCAAATCCTCCCCAACTCCTCCTTTTCTTTTGTTGAATCCTCCCCAATTCCCAAATCCTCCCCAACTCCTCCTTTTTCCTTTGTAGAATCCTCCACAATTCCCAAATCCTCCCCAACTCCTCCTTTTTCCTGTGAAGAATCCCCCCCAAGTCCCAAATCCTCTCCAACTCCCTCCTTTTCCTTTGTAGAATCCTCCCCAATTCCCAAATTCTCCCCAACTCTTCCTTTATCCTTTGTAGAATCCTCCCCAATTCCCAAATCCTCCCCAACTCTTCCTTTTTCCTTTGTAGAATCCCCCCCAATTCCCAAATCCTCCCCAACCAATTACCAAATCCTCCCCAACTCCTGCTCATAATTTCTGTAGAATCCTAGTCGTGAAATCCCCCCCAACCCCGCTGACGTCATTACAGGGCGCAAGGATAATTATCGAAACGATTTTTCGGGTAATGTAATGTTTTTTGCCCCTGCAGTATCTCCGCCGCGGTCCGCTCCCCACCCCTCTTGACCAGCGAGAAGGAGGTCCGACGGTCGGACAGCTCAGGGTCCCCCTGGATCGCGTCGTCCAACTCCTCACCGAAGAAGCGGGTCGACGGATCGGCGTAGACCAGGACTGCGGCGCCATCAGGAGCGGCCTCGCCATCACGCACCACTGGAGCAGCACCTGCGCCGCCCGCGATCTCAGCCAAAACCCCCGCTTCAGCACGAGCGCAGCCCAAGTCGAGGGCGGCGATGGGACTATCAAAGGCGTAAACGTTCGGGCCCTGTGGAAACGGCGCATTGCGCGCGAGTGGGAGCAGGCCCAGCACCACATTGCGGTCGGTGATGTCGATCGCTCTCACCGAAAAGTCGGGCGCAGACCAGATCCACCTCGAGCCGACGAGCATAACGAGCAGAATACAACGGTGGTACGGAATCTCATCATCTGGATAGTTCGCCAACATCTGACGCCCAGGCATATCCAGACTCATGTTCGAGCAAGCTCAGCACGAAGCCTGCGGCTCGCTGGGGTCTCCACGTCCTGCACGGCGAGCGCGGATGGGAGCACGGAGCGGCCCTCTGCGCCCACGACTCGGAGAGCCGTCTGTCGACAGCAACAGCACCGAGAGGGCAGGTAGATCGTCAAGCTCACGAACACGCCGACCGACACACCCAGCGTGAACAGACGCACTCCGATGTGAAAGCACGACTCGTCTGGCTCCCGCTGGTGAGCCTCGCAAGGGGTACACGAAGGCGAGGCCTTGGGAAACTTCTCCACCAGCACCTCGATGAGGTCCTCTATCTTCTGCAGCCGACTGCCACTCACCGAAGGCGCCTCACACGGCGCGACAGGCGGACACGTCCTCGCGGGGCACTCCGCACAACGAGGGCACTCCGGTATGACGGGGAGGGCCGGGCAGACTAGGTCAGGACAGTCTGGGCAGACAGGGCCAGTTTGGCGACCCCAATCGTAGAAATGTCCTACGTGTAACAGAGCGTTCAGCAGAGGCGCGAGCCCAGCTGCAACGTCCATCACACGCCTGAGCCAACAGGACTACGGCGCAAGCATTACCCATGTTGCTCCCCTTCCCCTTTTGGGTGGAGGGAAAAGGGAAACAACGTTACTGGGCATACTAGAACCATCGCGCGCGCTTCGCGCGCGCTCAGGTTCTAGCCCAGGCCGGGGGGGCGCTGGACGATCTTGGACAACGCTATCAAGCACAGGCGCGCGACGGCATCTGAGGAGCTTCTGGGGTGTTCCGCATGCTTTGTCAACTGGCTGTTGGAGGCACCTCTTGGGTGCCTCTTGGGGGGGCGTCTGAGGGTCCCTTGGGGGCATCGGCTCTGTAATCTGAAGCCGTCATTGGCCGTCCTTGCTGCGTGGAGGCCCGACTTGAGGCCACCTGCGGCCAGATTGAGGCAATCCGGAAGCCTCCCGGGGGCCTCCTGGAAGCAGTTTTGACGCATCGAGGGCACTCTTGGGCTATTTTGAAACCTCTTGGACGTCTCCTAGGGGCCTTTTGGGCCCTCGGGAAGCTTTTGGGGTCCTCTTGCGGCCTCATGTGGGCCTTTTGGGGGGAACGCTCTGCTGTTGGGTCGCGTTCCCCTTCTTGGGCCTCTCTTGGGGCTCTTGGGGCCCTCTCGGGCCGTCTTGGGCGCCTCAAGCACCGTCTTGGGGCCCTCGCGGGCCGTCTTGGGGCCCTCTTGGAGGCCTCTTCCTCTATATTGGAGCGGTATTGGAAGCCTCTTGGGCCGTCTTGGAGCATCGGGATGCCAAAAGGCCGAAAAAATTCAAACCCGTCAAAGCCCAATCGTAAAACAATGAGTTGTGCCTCTTGGGGCCACCTTGGGAGATCTCTTGGAACCTCGTCGGCCCTCTTGGGAGCTTCTTGGGGGGCCTCTTGGGACTTCCCGAGAACCTCTCGGGGTAGAAAGCTCGGATTCTCAGTTCGTGTTTCCCTTCTTGGGCCTCTCTTGGGGCCGTCTTGGGGCCCTCTCGGGCCTTCTTGGGCGCCTCAGGCACCGCCTTGGGGCCCTCGTGGGCCGCCCAGGGCCCTCTTGGAAGCCTCTTCGGCTATCTTGGAGCTGTCTTGGAGGCCTCTTCCTCCTCCTCGTCCCCCTCCTCCTCCTCCTCCCACTCCAGCTCTCTCTCCTCCTGATCTTCCTCCTCCCCCTGCAGCGTGTTCCGGAAGGCTCCCGCCGGAACATGCTGTGCACAAGTGCTGTCACTGCTCCCGCCACAGTGCCCTGGGTGGTGGGTCAGAGGCCTCATGGGTGTTGGTTTGGATCTCGTGGTTGGCCTGTCGGGGACGTCGTGAAGGCAGTTTCGCAGCTTCTCGGTAGCCGTTTTGGGACCGTTGTGGGGCCTCCTCGGGGCTGTTTTGTCGTTTGGGCCATTTTGGGCCTCCTGGGTGCCTCTTGGGGGCCTCCTGGGGCCTCTTGGGGGCTCCTTGGGGCCTCCTGGGGCACTCTTCCCGTAGCCATTTTGGCTCAAGCGAGCCTGGCGTGCGGGAGGCCCTCGCGCGGCGCGCGCCCGTGGGGCGCTCGGGCGCGTGCCAGCGGCCATGGAGAGCAGTGCTGGGGGCAGGCGCTGGGCTGCGGCCAGCGCGCGCTCGCTGGCACGACGCCTTCGGCGGATGCGAAGGCAAGCCGATGGCGAGACGCGGGCCTCGGCGCTCGCGGTGAGGACCGCCGCCATCCGTCGCGCCCTGGCGGCGCACTGGCGGCTGGCGGATCGCCTGGGCGGCCACGCTCCCACCTTCGGCGAGGTTGTTGCCGCGGGGCGGGTCCTGGGCATCAGCGACGACATCCTGGAGGCAGCGGTCGAGGACCTGGAATGGGGCAATTGGGCCCGACACGCCGCGCCGCCTCGCGCGGCGAAGCTGCGGCCTGTGCCCCTGGAGGCTATCTCGGTCGCGGATGTCGAGCGGAAGCTGCAGATGACGGACGGCGGCGCCAGGCTGGACGCGGGGGCGGCCCCCTGTCAGCCGCGGCGGCCCCCAGGGGTCTGGGGAGCGCCAGTGCAGCAGCGGGAGGACGTGCTCCTGGAAGCTCTCGGCGTGACGCCCAGGGTGGAGGAGTGCGAGCAACACGCACCTGAGCGGAGCCTGACGGCGGAGCTTGGGGAGTCGGTGCAGGAGGCGTCCCCTCCCTTTCTCTTCTACGGGGGCTCGGCGCAGGAGCTGGTGGAGAAGGACGTGGAGGAGGAGAGCGAGGACGTGGCACGGAAGTGCGGCTGGCTGGCACCTGGCGTCTGGCAGGCGGAGAATCCTGTGGCGGAGGTTCAGGCCTTCACGGGAGGCTTCGCAGCCGGGTGGCGTTTGGGCGAGCTGGCGGCGCTGGAGGCCGAGCGGGCCGATGAGGACGCGCAGCTCGAGAGCATCGCGCGGCTGGAGGACGCCTGGAAGCTAGTCAAGGCGCGCAACGTGGCGCTGGAGGAGCAGCTGGCAGGCAGGCGTCGGGCCATAGCAGCCACCATCTACGGCGAGCTCGGGACGGGCACTGCCGTGGCGGTTGCAGGCGACGCAGAACGTGACGACGTACGGGGAGGTCTAGGCGAGGGCACCGAGGAGGACGAGGGGAGGACGGCGAGCAGCACGACGTGCACTGCAGCTCCCCGCACGTCTTCCCGAGGCGCCGCAGTCGCGACCTACCTGGAGGAGTTTCCCTCGGCCCTGCTGCGCGGGGGCGGCGAGGGGGAGGTGCCCCAGGAGACGGAGGAGAAGGAGGGGATCCTGGGGCACGAGGTGGCGGAGCTCGAGGCGCAGGGCGTCGAGGGCTTCGTGGCGCCTGAAGGCAACAGCACCGACGAGCCGAAGGAGCGGTGCCTGCTGACGGGCGAGGTGCTGCAGGGACCGAGGTGGACGCCGACGGACCTGCCGCCCGACCCTGGGGAGGGTCTCCTGTTCGGCGGTCCCGACACGCGAGGTCGGAGGCGCCGTGCAGGCAAGAGCAAGAGTGCGGTGCCCTGAGGCCAGGTCGCGTCGCGGGCGCCTCGGGGCTCCGCCTGGCTCGGAGCTGGCGTGCTCGGCAAATGCTGGGCTAGCAAGTGCTCAGGCCGCTGATGCGGCGGTCGGGCCTTGTGGCGGGAATCCGCTGGGGGCCTTGGGGAGAAAAAAAAGAGCCTCCTGGGGCACTCTTCAAGCGGGAGGGTCGAATATTGGAGTCGTGGTCCCCCTCTTGGGCACATCTTGGGGCTCTGTTGGGCTGTCTTGGGCGACTCTGGGCCGTCTTGGGGCCCTCTTGGGCCGTCTTGGGGCGCTCTTGGGGGCCTATTGAGCCGTCTTGGAACGTCGGACAGCCGAAAAGGCTGGAAGGCCAAAATCGTTCGAAAACCTGCGTGAAATTGACGATTTCGGCCTCTTGAAGCGCTGTGGAGAGGCGTCTTGAAGCGTCGTGGAGTGCCCTGGGGGGCCTCTCGGGCCGTCTTGGGCCTATCTTGGGCGTCCTGGAGCGGTCTTTCGGCGACTCGGGGCCCGCTTGGGCCGTCTTGGGAGCCTCTGGAGGCCCTCCTGACCTATTTTGAACCTCCCAGGCCGCCCCGTCCTCCCACGGGGGGTCGGAAGCGGCGGCCTCCGAGGCCCAGGACGCGGAAACCCTTTAAAAACACATGGAACATGAGCCCCAATACTCCCATGCCCCCTCGGGGCAGCCGCCTTGGGCGCCCGGGCGTCGTGCACGTCTGCGGCCAGATTGAAGCAATCCGGAAGCCTCCCGGGGGCCTCCTGGACGCAGTTTTGACGCATCGAGGGCACTCTTGGGCTATTTTGGAACCTCTTGGACGTCTCCTGGGGGCCTTTTGGGCCCTCGGGAAGCTTTTGGGGTCCTCTTGCGGCCTCATGTGGGCCTTTTGGGGGGAACGCTCTGCTGTTGGGTCGCGTTCCCCGTCTTGGGCCTCTCTTGGGGCTCTTGGGGCCCTCTCGGGCCGTCTTGGGCACCTCAAGCACCGTCTCGGGGCCCTCGCGGGCCGTCTTGGGGCCCTCTTGGAGGCCTCTTCCTCTATATTGGAGCGGTATTGGAAGCCTCTTGGGCCGTCTTGGAGCATCGGGATGCCAAAAGGCCGAAAAAATTCAAACCCGTCAAAGCCCAATCGTAAAACAATGAGTTGTGCCTCTTGGGGCCACCTTGGGAGATCTCTTGGAACCTCGTCGGCCCTCTTGGGAGCTTCTTGGGGGCCTCTTGGATCCGATTGGGGGCCTCTTGGGACTTCCCGAGAACCTCTCGGGGTAGAAAGCTCGGATTCTCAGTTCGTGTTTCCCTTCTTGGGCCTCTCTTGGGGCCGTCTTGGGGCCCTCTCGGGCCTTCTTGGGCGCCTCAGGCACCGCCTTGGGGCCCTCGTGGGCCGCCCAGGGCCCTCTTGGAAGCCTCTTCGGCTATCTTGGAGCTGTCTTGGAGGCCTCTTCCTCCTCCTCGTCCCCCTCCTCCTCCTCCCACTCCAGCTCTCTCTCCTCCTGATCTTCCTCCTCCCCCTGCAGCGTGTTCCGGAAGGCTCCCGCCGGAACATGCTGTGCACAAGTGCTGTCACTGCTCCCGCCACAGTGCCCTGGGTGGTGGGTCAGAGGCCTCATGGGTGTTGGTTTGGATCTCGTGGTTGGCCTGTCGGGGACGTCGTGAAGGCAGTTTCGCAGCTTCTCGGTAGCCGTTTTGGGACCGTTGTGGGGCCTCCTCGGGGCTGTTTTGTGGCCTCTTTAGGCCTCGTTTGGGCCTCCTGGGTGCCTCATGGGGGCCTCCTGGGGCCTCTTGGGGGCTCCTTGGGGCCTCCTGGGGCACTCTTCAAGCGGGAGGGGCGAGGCTGGGGGCCCCAGGACAGGTGCCTCGACCCCCCATGGTGGGACGGGGGGGCCTGGAGCCTCCCGGGAGCAGCCCAGGCGGCCCAAGAGTGCCCCAAGAGCGCTCCACGACAGGCCCAGCAGGCTCCAAGAGGCCCAAGAGGGCGCCAAGAGGGCCCCAAGATGCCCAAGATAAGCCCAAGACGGCCAAAGAGGCCCCCAAGACGCTCCAAGAGGCCTCCAAGAGGCCCCCCCAGATGGCCCC